CAAGAAGGGAAATCTTTATGACGATAGGGAGTTGGTCATCAAAGTGATATTTCATGTTTTGCTTTTAGACAACATTCCGAATCACTTGGTTGATACGGAGGTTTCTATTAAGGTTTATCGCAAGGAAGTGAAGAAAAGCGATACTCTTTATGCTGACCTCTTGATAGTCGAGGTCGAACCTGCCGATAATGCAAAGCGGAATCGCTTTATTTTCGAGTTCAAGAGTAAAGGAGTCAACTTCTTGGACTTGCAAATCGGAGGTATGTTTTCACATTCTTGGTACTATCTTTTCGTAAGCTCCTTTTATGCTTACTATAATTTTTTGAATTGTATTTCCGAATCAGGTATTAATTCTAACTGGGACGTGATGGAACGAAAAGCAAACAATGTTGAAACAATGTCAAGAAAAGATGTACTTCAATTGAAGTGTAACAATTCGGAAAAATTTGATAATGGCAAGACTATGAGGGAAATTTTCAATGGTGCCTGTGAACAACTCCTCAATTACGTTTCCAATTTAAAAGATGATGATCGTCAAAATCATCGCGAATTTATCACTTTGGCATTTGTCGTGATGGCAGTGGGCTCGAGAAAGTTATTATGGAAAAAATTGGCTTGATTTGATTAATTCTCTGTAAATAATTAATTAAAAATAGTGTAGCATCATCTAATTTATTATATTATTAAAGTATTTCGAAATAAAGTTTTTCTCACTGCAAGCAAAATAATTTTATAGAAATGCGATATAAATGCCATGCGAACTGCCGTATTGTAGCATAAACCTTGGCACGTCCTCGCCACATTCTTGGTACGTACAGTACATTCAGTTGTCGTCTAAAGTAATCGGTGTGAAGAATTCTTCCCACGCGCATGGTTTTTTATGTATAGTATATGAAATTTAATATAATATGCGAGAAGGCAGGATCAAACTCTATTCATCCAATTCTAAAGGCGTGTCCCAACCTAATCTAATTGCGAAAGGATCATCAGTTGCTTTAGTAAAATCGAAGACCACAAAATGCCGGTCTCGCAGATGCTTATCGATGATCTTAGATGCTTTTTTCGGATCATCCGTATATTGACGCACAACCCTACATACGTCTTCTCGAGACCCACTTTCTCGGAACATGACTAGATGCGAGATATTTTCACGAATTATCTTCGGTACAGCTTGATATTTTTGGGTTACATATATTGGTGAGATATTTTGATGCCGACCACTAATGAAATAGAGAATAATTCGATTTTGAGTCTTTTTTGATTCAGCACAAAGATCTTCGAATACAACAATTGTACTTCGATCTGGAGAGAATTTAGTTATATCGGGAATCCTATCAGGCGTTATTCTTTTAAACGTGACATCCTCTTGATATGGTTTTGGGCTATTCGCAAAAATCTGAAAGCTAGTTTGTACTAATTGTCACTTCGGCTCAGTATGCTTTCCTACCAATATATGGTTATCATTCTTAATATACCGCTCCCCTTTTTTCCTTTACAGCTGTTTTCATAAGTAACGGGACACTCGGCAATTTTATTAGCCGAGTACTTGCCGGGTTGTCGGAGTTGTCG